TTCATTCATTATAATGTCGCATTCTGGGTATCCTCAGTGGCATCGTTCCGTTCTACCCCACGATACCTTGGGTTTATCCATAGAGCTTTCACAAATTCAAATTATTTGCCCTTGATCGCAGCTTGATTCCTCAAACCAACCAAATAAACTATGATTGTTTACGTTCACCACAATAATCTTAGTTGTGTTGTGATTTTGCCCTGTATAATACAGGTGTCCGTCAGGATAACCGGGACTACTTCCACCTATTCACGTAGTCCTGGGCTACCAGCGGAATTTAACCTATATATTGCTGTTTTGCCGTAGCTGCGCTCAGATTATGCTTTAGACTTCATATAGGTAACATTGTTATTATTGCGGACGCCTTGGAACACCAAGTGGGACTTGGTACTTGTAGAAATACACTCGATCACTATAGTTTCAATAAAATGCGAGTTACTTTCCTGGAGTAGAACGGAATGATACCACTGGGGATACCGAGAATGGTAATGTCGAAGACTCTGGATAATATAGAGTTAAAGCTTTTTAACTTTAACTCTTTTTTTTATATGTTAACATTTCACACTTTCCGTTTCAGAGTTATCCTCCTTTGTTCAAAACCTTGTAAACGTGATAGAGGCTACAGTTTTTTTTCCAGTTTGTTTGAAGCATTCTGGTTTTGAGAGAGGACAACCCCTATCAAAATTCAATGTTCAGCGACGTTAAAGTAGCTAAGTTTCTAACTCAATATCATCCAAAATCTTCGACATTGAAAACACGATTTATTTGTCGGTTTAAATCAACATTGATGTTGTGATCTTACCGGGAAATGATGGCCTTCTGATATCCAATATTTAAGACAAAATAAACATTTTACAATTGGTACACGAATCGTGTACCATAATGCATTTCAGCGCTATTTGTAATAAGGGACTCAAAAAACGAGGCTAGGCATATTCCACAAGTCATGTCAAACGGTGACGCTATATTCTTATCTGGAGAGCAAGTACAATAAATAATATCGGCGTAGACTGGAATAACCGGACGCTAGAGATTGAAATTCGATTGAGAATACTGGCGTATTTCGCCGAACCTAACTGATTAAAAATTACAGTAAAAACAGAAACGATTGAATGTAAATCAATCTATATATATTCATATTACATTATTGTATGTGTTGCGACCCATTTGTGTCAATTTCTAGATCCCAAATATTAGCGACTTAGCTCCTTTAAGTTAAGAAGTTATCCTTCATTCTCCCAAAACCGCGGTGGGAAACATTGGGGTCCTGAGAGAATGAACCCAATCCATGACTTTTCTCTCTATAGATATCACCAGCCCCCTTTCCGAATCTATTGTGAACGCAATAGAGGCTGCAGTTTTTAACAGATATTTTTTTGCAAATTTTGTAGACAGCACTGGGGTCATGAGTGGATTGAACCAATTAAATTTCAGCATTATGTAACTTTTCGATTCGGGGTTATCCCGCCTTTGCAAAACACATTGTGACAAGCGATACAGGCTGTAGTATTCCAACAAATTGTTCTAACATTCGGAGAGAAGCAGTGGGGTTATGAGTGGATGAATGAATCCTATCAACATTCAACCTTCTGTGACTTTTCATTCCGGAGTTGGGGGGTTGGATGGCTGAATGGTTAGCGTGCGCGCGCTGTATCATAAAGTCTGTCATTGAGTCGATTGGCGTGGTTTCGAATCCCCGGTTGTACGTGACAAGGAGTAGGGTCGCCTGTCCAACCTCGTGGGTTTTCTCCGGCTCCGCCGGTTTCCTCCCACAGCTAAAGACCCCTACGCGCAAGCGAATTATGTAAATAAAATTAAACCATGTTAGTCCCGAAATGACCTAGTTTGTGTCGAGTGGACGTTAAACCCCATTTCTTTCTCTCTCTCTCGCTATGTTTTTAACAGATTTATTTCAAACTTGGTTAGAAGTATTGGCGTCATGAAAGGACGAACACTATCGATATTCTGCATTCTCCTACTTTAAATTAAAGTCCCCCCCCCACACACACCTTTAAAAACGCGATAGATGCATGACTTTTATCAAATTTATTTCAAATTTTGCTGTAAACATTGAAGTCATGGATTTAATCATCAATGAGCGTTGAGCAGCAGATGGGATTCAAATCCAGTAAATATCACAGGCTAGCGATGGCATCAAGAGTCGATTATGGTCTTACTTTGTTAATAAATCTCTAATTATTAATTTAGATAACATATCAGGCCCGAAGAAAGACCTGCAATAGGAAAAATTAGCTCTGGCATAATGTATGTTTAATAAATGCCTATTTAATAATTTATATAATATTTGAACCCAAAATAAAGCCCTGTTAAAGGCAGATTTCTCTCTTACAAAAGTCATCTTTGAAAATATTTATTGTGCTTAGGACTGTGACAGGGGAATTCACTGCTTATAACAAATATGAAGCAAGGACACGGGCTTGATAAAAACATAATTGTAAATATATATCATATTGTTTTTCATTTTTAAATATTTGTGATTTTTATTTTTTAATTATTTAAAGATACATTATGGGAGATAAGATCAGGAGATGGCAGTTCTCGCTATGATAGTTAAAAACTAGATAGTGTAAAGGTAATTTGCTGAAAATTTCAGTCAAATTGATCCACTATGAGCCGAGAAAGAAGCCGGTGAAATTTTTGCATAGTCTCGGTTATCATTACTATAATCATTAATATAAACAGCATAGTCTCGATTATCCACTTTTTCTGATTTAATTATCTTTGGCCGTTAGCGGCATATAGGAATCTAATCCAGCCTACATCGAAGGCTAGCCTTGACATCGAGAGTTTATTATGGTCTGGATAAGTTAATTAATGTCTAATTGATAATTTAGATAACATTTCAGGCCTAAAGAAAGACTTGTAATAAGCAGATTTTGCTCTTGCATAATGCATGTTTAATATACTGTGATATTTGCATTTATTTGTGTACATAAATTCCAAGTGATAATATTTAGTTTGTCTCATATTATTCACCATATGTCTGGCGCAATATAGCCCGGTTGGAGCTGACGTGCCATAAAACCACATTTCATTTCATTTGATAAAAACAAATATAACAAGACATACCTGTATTCCATAGTTATAAATTAAAATTATACATATAATCTGATTTGAACACAGATCCTATTTCGTTTCATTTTTTATAGTTCAAATATTCATTTTACTTAGCTCTGCTTGATGTGAGGGATTAGCCAATGAAACATTCTGTTATGGTGAGTTCTTGGCGTGCGGTGCACGGAACTGTGGGTATCCCACAAGAAACATCAATGCTGACTGGTTAATCAAATGTCTAACACGATAAGGCCAAAAGCTGCTTGTACAACAACTGACGCAACCTCCCACTACACCCAGTCAGCTCTTCATGTAGTGCAGGCCATCGAAAGTATAAAAAATGACGAAACAAAATATAGATCTGTATTTCAATCTGATTGTTGTATATATGGACAGTTGTTATTTGTATAGAATGTTTTGTGGTAGATATTTTATAACCATATCAAGATTTGAGACAGAGAGAGAAATGGGGTTTAACTTACACTCGACACAAACTAGGTCATTTCGGGACTAACATATAATTTAATTTTTTTTTACATAATTCGCTTGCGCGTAGGGGTCATTTGCAGTGGGAGGAAACCGGAGGACCCGGAGAAAACCCACGAGGTTGGACAGACGACCCTACTACTTGCCACGTACAACCGGGGATTCGAAACCACACCAGTCGACTCAATGACAGACTTTATGATACAGCGCGCTCACGCTAACCATTCAGCCATCCAACCCCCTATTCAAGATTAGAACATGTACAACCAATATACAGTTTATAATACAACCAATATATAGTTTACAATACAACCTATATACAGTTTATAATACAACCAATATACAGTTTATAATACAACCAGTTTACAGTTTATAATACAACCAATATACAGTTTATACTACAACCAGTTTACAAAATAGATACAAATACGAAACATTTGTGTTCAGATAATGCCAGTGTTATTTACTTAGTTCTCTCTACAAAAATACACCATATAAATCTCGATCATTACACATTATTAGCAAATAATATTCATGTTTGAAACTCAACATACACAATATTGTAATTTGCAAGGGATCCTATCCCTTTAAAATTGGGCATACAGACTTTACGGGATTTAACGCTTAAAAATTGGGCATACAGATTTTATGGGCAAACAGATTTTCCGGGATTCTATCGCTTTCAAATCGGGCATACAGATTTTACAGGATTTATCGCTTTAAAATCAGGCATACAGATTTTAAGGGATCTTATCGCTTTAAAATTGGGCATACAGATTTTACGGGACTTTTTTAGATGACGAGATCTCATGTGTTTCTGTTGATTGAGCTAGACCAATAGTTGGTGGTGGAGGGGGGGAACCCAATGGTTGATGTGTGCGCATTGCATTATAAGGTCTGTCATTGAGTCAACTGACTTGGTTTCAATTCCCCGCTTGTACATGACGTTGAGTAGGGTTGTCTGTCCAACCTCATGGGTTTTCTCTGGGTCCTCCAGTTTCCTCCCACATTTATACATTTCTCAATAACACAATTATTTTTGCAAACATCACATCCAAACAAATGGCCTAGTTTGTGTAGAGTGGACATTAAACCCTATTTCTCTCTGTGGGGAAAATTTGCTCGGACAGCAGCACTACAGCCTACTACTATGCTAAATTCCAAATGCCAACATCACATCCAAACAAATGGCCTAGTTTGTGTAGAGTGGACATTAAACCCTATTTCTCTGTGTGGGGAAAATTTGCTCGGACAGCAGCACTACAGCCTACTCCTACACTAAATTCCAAATGCCAAGGGTTCTTTCACATGCACGCCAATGTGTACACAGGAAGTCGTTTTTGTCACATCCGAACAAATGTCCCATTTATACTTTTCTCATTATTGAACACACATTATCAAAATTAATTAGTCAGCTTTAAACTGGACACAAGTACAAATTAGATGGTTTGGGGTTATTTTAAACAATTTTTACAAATATTTAAACAAAGATTTGATATTAAACGAATGTGAAAGAAATTAGTGCTAGATACACAATATTAAATAATACCCAGGTTACAGTGATGACTTCTAACACAACTATTTTAACAACTTTTTCAAATATCACATTACTATGGTGTCTCTGCAGTGTGAGTTTTCATATGTCTTTTTCGACTAGCAGTTCTGGTAAATAATTTATCACAAACATCACATTTATATTTTTTTTCAGGTCTGGGTTCGTCTGTGTGAGTTTTCATATGTCTCTTTAAATTAGATTTTAGGGTAAATGATTGATTACAAATATCGCATTTGTAAGGTTTCCCACTAATATGACATTGCACATGAATATCTAAATAACTTCTCGTAACAAATGATTTATTACAAATATGACATTGAAACACTTCTTCTCGATTGTGAGTTTTCATATGAACATTTACACTGCTCTGTTGGCTAAATGATTTATTACAAATATTACATCTATATGGTTTCTGACCACTATGTGTTCTGAGGTGTGCTTTTAGACGGCCATTTGTAGTAAATGATTTATAACAAACATTACATTTAAAAGTGGCATGAGTTTTTGAGTGACGATCAAAATTATTTCTATTAGTAAATTGTTTATCACAAATATCACATGTAAATGTTTCCTTTTGAGTGTGATTTTTCATATGAATGATTAAATTAGCTTTTTGGGTATATGATTTATCACAAAAACTACATTCATGTCGTTTCTCTGCATCATGAGATTTCATATGTGCATTTCGATTACTTCTTTGGGCAAAAAATTTATTACAAACATCACATTGATATGGTTTCCAACCAGTATGAATATTCATATGATCACTTAGACTGCCTTTTTGAGTAAAGGATTTATTACAAAGATGACATTTAAAAGGTCTCTCGCCAGAATGCGTTCTCCTGTGTTGTTGTAGCTTGGAATTCCTAGAAAATGATTTATTACAAAAATCACATTTATATAGATTTCCATCTGTGGATTCTTCTGTATGAATTTTCATATGTCTGTTTAGATTACATTTTAGGGTAAATGGTTTACTACAAACATCACATGTATAAGGATTATCACTGATATGACTTTCCATATGAAAATCTAAATAACTTCTGGTAGCAAATGATTTATTACAAACATCACATTCAAACTCTTCCGCTGGATTGTGAGTTTTCATATGAGCATTGACAGTACTCTTCTGACTAAATGATTTATTACAAACATCACATCTGTATGGTTTTTCGCCAGTATGTGTTCGGAGGTGATGATGTAGATCGCGTTTTGTACTAAATGATTTATTACAAACATCACATTTATACCGTTTACTTCCAGTATGAGAATTCTTACTTACGCTGCCTTTTTGGGTAAATGATTTATTACAAAGATCATGTTCAATATGTTTGTCTCCAGAATGGGTTCTCTTGTGTGCTTGTAGAGTGGAACTCTGACAAAATGATTTATTACAAACATCACAATTAAATGTATTTTCAGCGTGAGACCTCTGAGTACTTGTAAGAATAAATGATTTACTACAAATATCACAATTATATGGTCGTTCTCTAATACGAATTTTGGCATGTTCTTTATAATAATCTTTGCTAATAACTGATTTACCACAATAAATTCTCTTATGTATGTTTCGAGTTGTTTTTAAGGTAAATGACTTTCTACAAACCCAACATTTGAATGGTTTATGTCTAGTATGTATACTCATGTGTGCCTGTAGATGGTAATTTTGAAAAAACGATTTATTACAAAGATTACATTTAAACGATTTCCCACCGAGATGAATCCTAGCGTGCATCATCAGAGTTATTTTAGTAGTGAATGATTTACTGCAAACATCACATTTATGATGTTCTCTGTTTACAGCATGAGTTTCTAGGTGTTCTTTCAGTTGCCTAGCAGCAATACATGAATAACCGCAAATATCACATCTATATGGTTTTTCACCGGTGTGAAATTTCACATGTTCATTTAGATAATTTTTGGAAGCAAATGATTTACCACAAATTTCACATATTCCGGCACATTGTTTGTCTGGGATAGTACATGATAGACTTCTCTGGTGGTTGTAAAGGGTGCTTTTTGTACGAAATGATCTATTACAAACATTACATTGATGTGGCTTCTTGCCAGTATGAATATTCATATGTTCTGCAATATAATCTTTTGTTGTAAATAATTTACCACAAACATGACACATAAACTGTTTTCCTTCTGTGTGTCTTCTAACATGATAATTTAAAGGACTTTTTCCAGGAAATGATTTATGACAAACATGACATTCATAGCGTCTCCCGCCAGTGTGACTTTTCATATGTTCCTTTAGATTATCATTTTGGCTAAATAATTTATCACAAACGCTACATTTAAATGGTTTCTTTTCAGTATGAGTTATAAGGTGTTTTCGTAGGATATCACGGTGTCTAAATGATTTTTCACAAACATCACAATGAAAAGGTGTCTGTCCAGTATGGATAAAAGAATGCTCCTTAAAATTTTGTTTCGACATAAATGATTCACCACAAACATCACATGTATAAGGCTTATCGGCAGTATGAATGAACGCATGTTTTGTAAAATGATCTTTTCTATCAAATGCTTGACCACAAATGTCACATTTATAAAGTTTCTCTACAGTATGAATTCTCAAATGTGCATTGAGAGCACCTTTTTGCTTAAATGATTTACAACAAACATCACATTTATATGGTCTCTCTCGTATATGTTTTGATTCAGAGACGTCAACAGAGGATTTTGTTTTGATATCTGCCATGTTTCTACGGAAACTGAAAAAGAAGTCAGATTCATTACAATAGTTCCAAAATGAATATTAGTTATTAAGGGCATGGTATGAAGTTCATTCAAATTTCAATAAAATGAGGAATACAGACAACTCATCCCAAAGACATCAAATCCATCCCAAGTTAGAAGACAACTCATTGCAATATAAGACAATTCATTGCAATATAAGACAACTCATCCCAAGATAAAAGACAACTCATCCCAAGATAAATTACAACTCATCCCAAGATAAAAGACAATTCATCCAAAGTTTAAAGCATGGGTTGATATCTAACATCTGAACGGTCAAAAGCTCGTCGCAAAAGTTGATAACTAGTTTACTTCTTTCAGCGTACGGCAAAATTCACAATTTTCAGTTATCTGCACTGCTAACACATTAAACTTACATATCATATCCATCTATATTCCAAAAAATATTTTTTGCTGTCTTTTTTAAGAGATTTCACAAAAATCTTTAACTACTAGCAAAAAAAAACAGTGAAAAAGGAAATGACCTACATTGGCGAAAGTTGAAATCTGGCATGGTGCACATTACGAACGGAATTCTTTAAACAAAACAAAATCATGAGACTATAATATAATTTGAAGGCGATCATTTTAAATTTATTTTTAGTGATGGTCCGATTATTGGTGTCACTATTCAGTAGCCTAATAGGCCGATGAGTGGCCTATCAGAAGAAATTTTACCGATATTTGTGTAGCCGATATCTGTTCAAAATGACTCGGCAGCCAATAAATCTTTTCATAAAATATTATTCAAATTGTGAACAAAGCATTCTCTCTAGTCTCTTTCTTAAAATGGGACTCCCTCTTTTATTTTAGTTGCCATGTGTGTGATACAAGACTCAATGCTTTATTATAGATATTTTCAACTCTATAGATAGAAAAAGCGGGAAAATGTCACGTGACATTGTCAAGACAGAAGCTATCATAATCAACCGGTAGCGATGAAACATTCTACGAACGCCGACAAATTTATGGATTTATATTGTAATCAACATTTAATAACATTTTATAAATAATAATCTCAATCATACCGCCTATGCTAGAATTGACCACGGCATAATGGCAAAACTGTCGTAAAAAGTAAAATCTGAAGCAAACACGGACTGCCACGGTAATAAAAATAGCCCAAATTGCGCCGTTGTCCATGTGTACATGTATTAAAAAGTTATGCCTTTTATATACATGTAGACGTATGAAATGCATAGGTAATAACTTTTCAATATATCATACAGTCGTTCAGGGGCGGATGGGCTTGGGATTAGGTCAATAATTCAGAAATGCAAGATTTAGTTGTAAATAGAGTCCCAAGCCTACACTTATAGTTCATTTTTTCATAAGAATGCTCACTTTCTAAAATAATGCCCTTATTATAGAAGGTTATGGCAGAGCCGTGGGAAATTTGATGAATCAATTTTAGTTATGGTTGACATGATGGCAACCATTGGGAACACGAATAACTAAAGGATCGAAAGGAAAACAAATTTTGATGACTTTATTACTCCAAGAGGAATCTGTAAATTTTATACTTATGACAGTACCACCAAACGCAATTAGAACCAGATTAATTGACACTGAAAATCATTGCACGGGCCGTTTGTCTATCTACAAATATAAAAATTTCACGTTCAGTGACGGAAAATGACAACAGTATATTTGTTAAATATGAAGAAAGGCAGCCGTTCCTTGTCAGCTAATTTTTGCTACGGCATTTATAAATTTTTGGTGCCGTTGTAGAAGAATCCTCATTTTAGGCACTGGTCATGATCTAGGCCTACTAATACTAATTAATCATGCAACAAATAATTATTAAGTTCTCAATGGACGTTGTGTATTTTCAACTACGTGTGAAGAGCGACCTTATTATTCTTCAACAAACATCGTCTTCTATCCCAATATAAAACCTCTACAAAACAGTACATATACGCAATCCATAAAAATATTGTACAAAAATGCATTTCGTTTCGCGTAAAACAGGGATCCTCAAATTTTAATGCAGAGGATATGACGTCAAAAAAAGGTCAGACTATCCCAACATGGCATGACTGAAAGAAATGCTGGTGTAGGTGATATTGGATAAACCTGTTTCACTGAACGTTTGTTTGTCAGTAAGTGTCATTGTTGTTCAGAGATGGATCACACAATAAGCGTAGGACATGCATTTAGAATTTATCGACGGACGCCTTTCAGCTCGTGGCAATTTGATGCGCCAACAATTCAGTCGCAGTTCGCTCCAAATAAGTACAGCATCAGGAACCTTGGGGCTACGTGTGAACGAAACCTCAAGGCACTCTGGAGTAGGGTCGAGATATAAGACAACTCATCCCAACAAATATAAGTGTTAGTTATATTTGTTTTCATATAATTACTTTCTTCGAAGACCACTCAGGCCAATCTGATTTTGTTATAAAAATGTGTTGTTTTAATCAAATTGATATTGTTGTTTTTTAATCAAATTGATATTGTTGTTTGTTAAGCAAAGCGAGGAATCTTCTTTGCACAATTAAAAAGCTCAGCTTTGCGACAAAGTTTTAGCATTGCCACATCTTCACAGATCAATTTTCGATTAAAGTAATGGAGTCGAATCAACTTGGTTTTACTTTTTCTTAAATAATTAATAGATTTTTCATAATTACCGTACTAAATTAGATAATATCCTGAGAGCAGTCGACTCACATAATTCACTGAAACTAGGCCTAGCTATCGTCCGCTTTCAACGTGAGTGCTACAGCAAACCAATACAATTCACTTGCTTGTTGGTTGGTGTGTAATGCCTACATCCACAATAATGTCTTCGCTATACTTAAAAACGATTTTATTTTAACCTAAAACCAGTATTTAGGTCAAACGAAACACTTCCGGTTTATCAGTTGTATATAAAACACAACCTGGATCCATATCGACTCGAGTAATTCATTCTTTTATAAGCTTAAATATACGCAACATTGCATTCTTCTTTCTTCAACACGATTTCCCTTTTGCATTTCATTCCTATAGACTGTATAGGCATTGAGTGAATTACGGAACCACTGTGTGGTCATTTCGTCACAATAATTTCGCCCCCTATAACATTTGCATAGAATTACAAACTTTTATATCTTATTTTGTGATGGATTTGAACATCAGGTATAAATATATTCACTTTATTCTCTCTCGATCAATAAATACATGTGTTAGAAATTTTAAATAAAGAACTGAAAAGAAATTACATGGGTTTAAACGAGCTGTACCGACTGGACTCGGGCACACACCATTCAGTATACCATGAAATTTTACCGGAGCAGCTGCTATATAAAGCAATTATAATTTGTTGATCTGCTTGTCTATGACATCACACTTTGTGGAAGTTGACGTAAACTCCAGAAACGAACGAACGAATGAATAGTGATTTGAAGTGCACGTTCTTAGCCGGATCCACGTCCTCAGTTTTGACTAACCGTTAGTAATTAGTAGTTATTTAATTTAATTGTCAGTTTTTAAGAACTATGTTACTATATAGCCCATATTTTCATTCATATTTATATTGTAATGTATTGTCGTGAATCCGTCCCGACAGGCGCCGTCGTTGGCTCTTTGTCTTTAATTGGCTGCACGTGTTTATGATTGACAGGTTTGTGAAATAGCTTTATTTAATGTCCGCTTCCACGAGGTGATATCACAGACAATGTTTGTTTGTTAGCTGTATTTTACGTCCGCTTCCACCGAGGTGATATCGCAGACAATGATTGGCAGGAACTGTAAACGTGTCTTGTAACATGGACGGATAATCTCCCTTTGTTCTTTTCGTTGAATAAGCAGATTGTTTTCCCTCTAATATATTGGGTGGAGCTTAACCGTGCAATAACTAGACATTTTCAATGTTATTGCACACTTTTGCTGGTTTACGACAGTTTTAGTAGAAATCAGATAGAGAAAAGGGGTGGGTTTTCTGTGCAATAACGAGCATGGACAGTATTATTGACATATATAACCCCGCCCCCATTTCACCACACCACCCGCGAAGACAGGACTAATATTCACGTGGATGGATGGGTACTTAAAATCGCTCAGTCTTAAATAAGAGACAATTCTTAATTTTGCTCACTGCTACTTAAATTTATATTACCGGCATCAATAAATTAATGATGCATGCATTTTGGGGAAATCACACCAAAAAAATTTTTTATTTCAGTTCTTACAGGCAATTTTATATTTTACAAAAAATTAAATGTACAATTAGTAAACTTTACATTGCCACAAGTATCTTCTCGTCATTATAATTATCGTCTATGGTCAAGGAAATATGTCGCTACAAACATTGCCACAAGCATTAAAGGTCACCGGAAAAGAATCAATTTTTTTTAAATAATGCAAGTAACTATGTCAACATATTCTTTCCATAAGTATAAGCAGAACCCGAATGTCAATATTACCTGAAAAGGGTAAATTTCAACATTAGTAATTTCCGCCGTTCTCCGTGGGTAGTCATAACTTTCCGTCAATAAGCAATCCGTGACATCATTTTAGTCCTTCTGCACATAGAAATATAGACTAGAATATGAGCAGAAGGACTAGAATGACGTCACAGATTGTTTATTTACGGAAAGTTACGACTACCCACGGAGAATGGGGAAAATTACTAATTTTGAAATTTACCTGTTACGGTAATACTGACATTCGGGTTCTTGTTATACTTATGGAAAGGATATTTTGACATAATTACTTGCATTATTTAAAAAAATTATGAACCTTTTCCGGTGACCTTTAAATACCTCGGACAAACAGGTAGATTTTGATGATTGGTTTGCAAATGTTTTTGACATTTCGATGGGGGATCCTCATTTTCAAGATTTTCCGCTTTACAGGGGGGATTTAATGTAACAGAAACTCTTTTTTCCAACTCGTCCGACTTAACTTTATAGACCCTTCACGCCTCTTTGGACCGATGTCCAGTTCTGTCCATAATACACTCTTCATCAATACCTGTCCGACACAAGGCCGTTGCACATGTTTTCTTTCCAGAATGATTTGTGTAGTTTCCTTGTACACCCGCCTGATTACACATCTCTCGCATAAATTGTCCCAATTTGTTCACACCCACTGGTTGTTTTCCACTCTCCACACAAGTTTCGCTATCCAGCATTCGACTCTGCCCACGACTCACGCACTACTGGTTGACCTAGAGGTCATTGGTCACGTTATTAACTACATGGTGAAAATGACATCTGTCGGAAAAGTTCCTGGCGTTATAAACACTTTTAAGGGAAAATGACATCAATTATTACCCCTCCAAAAGAAACAGTCTAATTTTGCATGTTTCGTGTGTAAATGTATTAGGCCTTACGGTCGCATTATAAAGGTAAACAGATCCACGTGTATTATTCTAAAATTAGCACGGGACATGCACAGTTTGTATTTCCGACCATTTAACACAGTAATCTAAGAGTTCCCTGTAATATTTGTAAATACATTGTTACTTTGCAATTGTGACACCATTTCTATTTAAATATGGTAATGGTATCTATACTAATATTTGTGAAATGACCTAGTTTGTGTCCAGTGGACGTTAAACCCCATCTATTCTATTAATAACCCTCGTCTAGATCTGTAAATTCTACTTTGGTTTAACTGGTGTTTGTATGTCAATCAATATTTGATTTTCCTGGCGTATTTTTTTTATTTGATAGACACAGAATGCCTGGAAGTACGGATACTTCATAAATATGGGAAGCAAATTGTGGACAGTCTGTACTGTGGCAGGCACAACGGATGGGAGACCGTCGGGGTAAGAATTATCTTTTTGCACTAAATATTTGTTGCTGATTAAGTCCGAGATTCTACGGCAAATTGAAATGCGTTTCCAGTTGTGATGAGTGTCGCGCATATGGCATTATTCCCGTTTTGTCGATCTGGTGACGGTCCCGTGCCTTTACATTTGTTAAAACTTTTCATAAGAACCCCGTTTACGTTATATGAATTGTATAATATAAGATCAGTATTTATGTGGCCGATAGAGGGAATGATGAGACTTAAGGATTCTTACAGCAAAAAGAAAATTGATGTAAGTAATAACGTACAAAATGGTTATGTCCAGTTTGATTATTCAATTGTTTGATAGCGGTTCACTTCCTATTGAAACAAGATATAATTTATATATTATAAACTATCTTTAATTGCTTGTTTTGTTTTCTTTTGATCGTTTTTTAGAAATTGAATAATTCGACAGATAATGCAGTAAAGGCTTTGGACAAGACGAACGAGGACATGGGCAATAAGTCGAGCGAGGAAACGGACAAGACCAATAAAGAAGATGAGATGAAAGAGACCGAAAACAATGACAGTGGGATGGACGGTGAGACCGAGAGTGGTTTATTTTATGAGGTACGTATTGTTTATTGAGAATCAGTCTGGATAATCCTTTTTAAATTATTAAACGGCCATCGTATTTCAATCCATGAAAAATCACGACCATTTGTGACTATGGCTTGTCAGCGAATTAATAATTTGTATAACAATAAAGACCTGTAATAGACAGATTTAGTTCTTACCTAATGTATCTTTAAATTATTAAATTGTTTAACCGTCTAATTTAAACTTTACGTTTTTCTTTTCAGAGGGATATTAGGGTTGATGACTGGATGGGTGTGCATTACAAGACTGGGGTATTTGTGGGTAAAGTTGTCAATTTTGTTAAGGACCGAGTGGAAATAAATTTTTTAAACGTTCCTGAGGAAGACGGTCATGCCCGATGGCCATTAACGACGAATTGTTGTCTAGTTAAACGAAAATTTGTAATCGGTGTGGCAATTGTGGAAGAACTGAAACGAAAATTTAGAATCTGTAATTGGCAAATTTTAAGGAATAAAAATCTATTATTTGAAAGTGTTTAAACATATATTATGCAAGAGCTAAATACGCCTATAGACATATCCAGACCATAATCAACCCTTAATGTCGTTTTAATCATCAATCGCTAAATTCTCGTGGATCAATTTAACTGAAATTATCTCGTTTTTAACTATTATAGTGAGAATTGCCAGCTCTTTATCTAATCTCCCATAATGTATCCTTAATAAAAGTTTCGCTAGAGTGTTTTTAAATATACTATTCAAAAAAGTAGGGGATATTTGATTTTGGGGGCATAATACTAAAATATGCAAATGACTACGAAAAAAGTCACTATAGAACCTAACAGAAGAAACATTTCCAGTTACATGTGACGCCCAAACGCACCAATAGCTACCGCATGGAATGCAGGTGATGCTTGGGATCATCATGGGGGTCCAACCCAAGATTTGCACGACTCTGACTTTGAATGTTACAGTCATTGTGGCATTGAATTCCAGGGTGGAAACATCAGTTTAATTGTTTTAGTGACCAGAAAACAAATTTTGATATGCGTCGGCTTACCCAAAATGAAAGGTTACGTGCCCTTGGCATGCTACAGATCGGCACAACACAGGCGGTTGTGGCGCGGACGATGAATGTTTCTCAGTCTGTCATAAGCAGGCTATGGTCCAGATACCGTGATACACAATCTGTACAGGACAGACCACGCTCAGGTCGACCAAGGGCGACAACTCAAGCCCAGGATCGATTTATCCGTACCTTGGCCTTGAGAAATCGTGTCATCACAGCAAATCAGATCAGCGCTCGTCTTCAAACAGACACTGATGTGAGAGTGAGTGGCCAGACGATTCGGAATCGACTGCATAGGGGTCACCTTCGCGCCCGACGTCCTCGCGTGATCCCTTGTTTGAGAGATCATCACATTCAGGCAAGGCGTCGTTGGAGTAGGGATCGTCAACACTGGGATAATCGACGCTGGAGCAATGTGATGTTTTCAGATGAGTCAAGG